CAGAGAATTACTGGAGAATTATTGGCCCAATGGTAGCTAATGAAGAACTGGCTAAAATTATATGGCCGCACAAAAACAAAGTAAGCATACACAAAAGAATCAACCCAGATGGTACAAAGACTAATATAATATAACTATGGAAATAGAGTGATGATAGATGAAGGCCCAGACCATTTTTGTCAGTGATTTTAAAAACGTCTAATAAAGAGTATACTGTAAAAACTGAAGAATAAGTATTCGAAAACTAGTGTGTTTGCAATTAAAGTCCAAATTATTGATGACCAGACATGACAAAGGATATCAAGAGAATCTTACAAAATCATTTAGGTCAGGGACGGATATTGAAGTTAAATGGGTATGGATTAGATTAAAGTATCAGAGGGGCTATAAAAACCAATTCCTGTGAATACAAACTTAATCACATTAAAAATAAAAAATACTTTAATCAATCAAAAATACTTTACACAGGCTTCAACAAGAAAACAAACAAGATGGTAAGCAAGAGATGAAGAAGATTAACAAAAAATTATGGGGAGTGAGGCTCAGAATAGTAGTATTCCACATAGCTATTTCAGGCAAACACAAAAACTTTTCAAATTGTGAAAAAAAATCATTATCATAACAATTCTAAGAGAGAAGTACAAAGGAAATGCTATCTCTACATTTAGACCTTTCATAGGAAAACAAGTCAAGGCTACAAAAGAATACTGAAGTCTTATCTGCTTCCTTTTCGGGCTTGGTAAATTCCACCACTACCACTTTACCCTAAACCCAGGAGGCGTACTCTGATAATGGTCTAATATTGGCCTTCAACAATGAACAGCCTAGCCAAAAATGGTGATAAGAGAATGACCTAGTCAGAATTAGCATCACCACATGCTTTGGAAAAATAAAACTCTGCATATAGTGATTCATCTTTCTTTCTGTCTTCCTTCCTTATCTTTTTTCTAGTCTTTCCCTAAAAAAGAATTTAGAATATATATCGAAAGGATAATTAAGTTCAAAATACTAGATAGTAAAATAACTAAATTTGATCTTCAAATGAACAATCATCTTGTATTCTGGCACTCTTCATTTGTACCGATTTTTTGTTTTTTTGGTTGGTTGGTTGGTTTTTGCAGTACTTGGGATTGAACCCAGGGCCGTGTGCATGCCAGGCAAGAATTCTACTATTGAGCTTTATCCCCAGTCTCCAAAATACTTATGAGATATGATACCATTTTTCATGGTGAGCATATTCATTTATTTATTCAATAAATATTGATGACTTTTGTGCCTAAAGCACTGTGCCAGATAGTAGACACATAATAAGACAGTAGCTTCTGAAACTCATCATCTCATAAGGGGAAATTTCTTATAGATAAAAAGGGGGAAAGCACAGGATAGACTTTCCACACCATCTGAAAGATACCCAGGAATTAATATATACCAGCCCTAGACTGCCTACCTCTAGAATCTCTGTAATATGAGAAGGATAAAATCTGAAGCCATTGTATTTTTTTTATTCCCTCTCCCACTTATTTTGGATTAGCTTCCACATAACAGAGATAACATTTGACATTTCACTTTTAGGACTGGCTTATTTCACTTAATATTACAGTCTCCAATTTCATCCATTTAATGGCAAATGCCATGATGTCATTCTTCCTTATGGCTGAATCATACACCATTTTGTGTATACACCATATTTTCTTTATTCATTCATCTGTCAAAGGCCCCTAGGTTGATCACACAAATGGTCAACACATACATGAAAAAATGTTCAACATCTGTAGCAATTACAGAAATGCAAATCAAAGTTACTTTGAGAGTTCATCTCACTCCGGTCAGAATGGCAATTATTAAGACCGTAAATAAGAATAAAGGTTGGCAAAGACATGGGGGAAAAGATATACTCATATATTGTTGATAGAACTACAAATCAGTACAACCACTCTGGAAAGTAGTACAAAGATCCCTCAAAAAACTAAGAGTGAAACCACCAAATGCACCAGCTATTCCATTCCTCAGTATATGTCCAAAAGATTTTAAATCAGTATACTAAAATGATGCAGTCACATCAATGTTTATGGCAGCACAATTCACAATAGCTAAATCATTGTATTTTAAAAGTTTATCTTAATTTAAGGAAAGTTACACATAAAGAAGCAGTTTTACAGTTTAAGTTTTTGTTCTAAAATAAAAGATACAGAGAAAAGCATACCAAATTAATGACTTAATGAAGTATCTTACAAACACTACCTATATTAAGAAATAGAACTCTGTCACCAACTCCAAAAGCCTCTTTCAATTGCTTCCCAATCATAACCCCTCTGTTGCTATACGGAGACTTGGGCTTAACCACTTTCCTAAAATTTTCTACAGGCAGTTTTATTATCTAAAAGTACATTCTTAGGCACTATAGTTCAGTCTTACTCTATTTAAAAAACTGTGTATCTTTTAAAGCTCTTTTATTCTAGAGGTTCTTCTTCCATTTTTTTCTTCATAATTTACTTGTTAAAAAAACCCAGGGCAAAATGAATTAGAGAAGGGAAAATAACAACAACAAAACCCAGGGCAGTTGAATGATAGTTTTGATAATTACATTCTTTGGTACAATGCAATGTGATCTTCTACCTTCTGTCATGAGATTCTGGTAATTCCTTGTGTAGGGTGTAGCAAGAATAGGCACTTAATATCTGTTAATTTCTTTTTATGATGCTTAGATCACACATGTTGATGTTTAGATCTTCATTTATTGAGAGCTGAAAATGATGATACTCCATCATTTTCGATATTTATTAATTATAATACAATTATCCTCATCTACTATTAGGTTACCATGACTTTTTTCTTTTATTGATAAGTTTTCAAGATAACAAACTGGTTCCCTGTCATATTCTTAGGTGACAAATCCTTTTCAATATTAAGAATTCAAGCAATTCAAAATATTGGCTGGGTTTCAACTGCAATTATAATACCATCTTAGATCAAGCCTCTTTTTTTAGGGAGAGGGTGCTGATGATTGAACTCAGGAACACTCAACCACTGAGCCATATACCCAGCCCTATTTTGTATTTTATTTAGAGTTGCTTAGTTCCTTGCTTTTGCTGAGGCTAGCTTTGAACTCTTGATCCTCCTGCCTCAGCCTGCTGAGTTGCTGGGATTACAGGTGAGTGCCACAGCTCCTGGCTTAGATCAAGCCTCTTTAAAATGGCTCCTCAGTGGGGAATGAAGGGGGAAAGAAAGGGAGGTATGGGGGGACAAAACTAACCAAATTATAAACCATCATTAATATCTAACCTAAAACAATTTCACTGCCCAATAGAAATCCTGTACCCGTTAGCAGTCATTTCCATTGCCTCCTTATTCCAGGCCCTGGTAACTACTAGTCTACTTTCTGTCTATATAGATTTGCCTATTCTGGACATTTCATATAGAATCATATAATATGTGGTCTTTATATTTGGCTTCTTTCACTTGACATGTTTTCAAGATTCATCAACATGATAATAGGTGTCAAAAATACTTCATTACTTTTTATGGCTAAATAAGTTTCAAATGTGTGGATATTGTTTATCCCAGCCCTTTTTATTTTTTGTTTTGAAACAGAGTCTCATTAAGTTGAATTTGAATTGAATTTGAATTTGAATTGAAGCTGAATTTGAACTTGTAATTCTCCAATCTCCTACACTGCTGGAATTACAGGCATGAGCCACCATGTCTGGCTTGTTTCCATTTTTGCCTATTATATATTAATGTTGCTAAGGATATTCATATACAAGTTTTTGAATGAGTATGTTTTCCCTTTTCTTTTAGAATTTGGTACTTTTATGGGAGGAGGGGTGCTGTGGCACTCTACCCCTGACCTATATCCCCAGCCCTTCATCTTTTTTATTTTGAGACAGGGCCTTAAATTGCTGAGTCTAGCCTCAAACTTGGATTCCACCTGCCTTGGTCTCCCAAATTGCTGGGATTACAGGCATGCATCATCACATCTGGATAGAAGTTATATATTCTGACACACATCAACATCCGAAAAACCATCAGTACAATCAAGATTATGAATACAAATTTCATTCAAAAATTTTCTGTATGTCCCTTTGTAATTTTTCTCTTTCCATTCACAAGGCAACCAGAGATCTGTTTCTGTCACTACAGATTGGACTGTACATTTTAGAACAGAGACTGACTTGTAAAGTATAAATTCTGTTTTGTTTGGTGGTTTTCAATCAACATAATTATTTTCAGGTTATATTATGTGGCTGCATATATTAATAATTCATTCTTTCCTTTGCATTGGCATTTCATTGAATGGATACACTGCAGATTTTTTTATATCTATTTCCATTCTTAATTATCCATTACCACTGGTGAACTTTGAACTTGTTTCCAATTTTCTACTACCACAAAGAAAATGACTATGAACATTCACGTGCAAATACTTTTAAGGGCATGTACATTTTTCTTGAGTAAACGCCTAGGAGTAGAAAGATCATATGGTTTAGCTTAAAAAATAAAAAGTAAAACCATGTTCCAGGTAACTATGCCACTTAACATTCCTATTAGCAATGAATAATGGTTCCAATTCTTCTGTATCTTCTCCAATACTCAAGTAAATCTCTGAAAAGCTTGAACACTGGATATGCCTCTTTCTTCCTCTTGAGGTAAAAGCCTCAAATTGTGTGAATTTTTACAAAGGCACAAAGCTATGTAAGCCATAGCAAGAATCCCCCTATGCTCTTTATTTGTTCTCAGATGCTTCCAGATATCCACACATGCTAGTTCTTACTCATGCTACCAATGAAGTGACACAGAAACAAGTCCCTCAGGCAGCCTCCTCCAAGACCAGAACTTGGGAAGCAAGCTCTATACTCTTCTCCTGTCCCACTTGAAAGCAGGGAAATATTTAATAGTTTGTTTTATATATTATTGATTAATGTCAAATGATATAAACTTAAAAAAAAATCTTCTTCATGGGCTTCTATAAGAAGACGTTGAAAATGGGAGAAAAGACATACCTAACTGCTGGAACAGAAGAGCCACACTAGTGCCTGTGACAGGAAGACTATCATGTAAAGGAGTCTGAATCAGCTGTCTATCTCCTGCACCCAAGGAAAACAGCTTCTGCAGAATTGGAAAAACACACAAATACAAATTAATTTCTGATATTTTCTAAAAATAAAAATCCCTCTGAAGTTCAATTTTAGAGCAAATGACCACATAAGAGCCAAGTAATAGATGCAAAGGGCAATAACATATAAATTAAAACATTCAAGATACTTTGTGTATAACTAAAAATGATATGAGAAAATTGTTAAAAGTTCAAATTTAGTAAAAATGAGACACAAATATCACTGACTAAAAAATAAAAGTGTTTGGAATAACCATACTTGTTTTTTTTTTTTTGTATATTCTGACACACATCAGCACCTGAAAAACCATCAGCACAATCAAGATTATGAATACAAATTTCATTCAAAAATTTTCTGTATGTCTCTTTGTAATCTTTCTTAACAACAACTTTAGTTGTTGTCATAAGACAATTCTGTTTCTTTAAAGTTTAGGCCATCTGTGACCAAACTCACATTTAATATTCTGCCCTTATAATAGAGATGAAGAAGAGAGTAGGAAGGGGACAAAAAGAGGGAGACAATTTAAGACAAAAGATACCAGGAAAAGACAGAGGACAATTAAAATTCAAAGGGCAAGTAAGGAAAAAAGTATTCCAATTTCACTATACATAACATCTTAATCAGATTGAGCACAAACAGTGTGATTTTTATCAGGTTTCCGCAATAATATATAAGCAGCAGCAAAAATAAATGTTCAACTAATCATTTTTAGGGTTTAAGGAAAAGAGTATATTCTTTTTGTTTGGATGCTGGGGATTGAATCTAGGGCCTCATGCATGCTAAGCACACACTCTACCACTGAGCTGCATTCCATAACCCAAGTTTTATTCTTTGAAATGTATGGTTGTTACTGGGCTTGGTGGTGCACACCTATAATCCCAGTGGCTTGGGAGACTAAGGCAGGAAGATTACAGGTTCAAAGCCTGCCTTAGTAACTTAGAAAGGCTCTAAGCAATTTAGGAGACCCTGTCTCAAAATTAAAAAAGAGGCTGGGGATGTGATTTGGTTCAATCCCCAGTACCCGCCCCCCAAAAGCATGGTTTTTACAAACATAATAAGTAAATCATAACTGTTAAAAATTCTACTTCAGACACATAGAAAAAAATCTCAAGACATACAGACTAAAGAAATCTATTCAGAAGTAGTTACAATATTACAAAGATTATCAACTCAAACGTTCTTTAAGTTAATAATAAGTTATACACAAAAGTAAGAAAGGTAGAAAGAGCATATTTAAGAGTTCAGCCTAAAAACTATATGCCCCCCAAAATATAAACTAGAGTTCAAGTTACACAAAATCTGACTAATATTTATGCTATGTGAAAGGTGAACCTTGTGTTCAAATTACCTTATGGCCTAAGAAAATAATGAAATCCTGAGTATTTAGGAGGAGACTATAGAGACAATGCTTAATTAAACTAGGATACTCATTAAAATAAAAATATTTGAAGACTTCTTTCTTTTCCTTTCTTCAAAAACTAAATTAACTGGAGGGGAAGAGGAACAGTCTCCATCTTCCTTCTATTCTATTTACCTGAGACCCTCCAGCTGCTGGAACAAGGCAGGCACAAAGGTTTGCAATGAGACTTTCCAAGGAGACATTCAAACTATCCACATATACAGTATAGATCAAACCCAGGCAAGCCTGCAAAGGGAAAGATACATGTAGTTACATCATGGAAAAAGTTCAAGAAACAAATAGTCGTGACATTAGCTTCTACAAAATCTTTTCTTTAAACCAAGTAAGGTATAGTCTACAATGAATGTGAAATAAATTTAAGCAGCAAATATTATTAAAGTTTATTAAATTTCCTTCTAGGACCAGAACCTCTAAATGAGCTTCTGGCATGAGTTTATAGAAAGCAGAAAGCCCAATTTATAAAACAGGTGTCTTATCTATACTCAGATAACTATTCTAGACAATTTGCAGGGCTAACACTGTTTTTGCCATACTGTTTTAACTTGTTATTTCAACTTACTTTGTGAAACTCCAGATTTCAAAATAAAATTTAGAGATTTTGCTTGCTTTGTATTCATTATTAATCCAGAATATTTATTCAATGGAAATTTAATGTATAAGAATTTTTTATTAGTTGCTCAAGACAATACAATGATATTGACATATCATACATTTGATTCAAATAGGGTATGAATTCTCATTTTTCCACATGTACAGATTGCAGGATCACATTGGTTATACATCCATGTGTATACATATAGCAATCCTAGTGTCAGTTGTATTCTATAGGCAAGATATAATTAACACTTTAAGCTCAGCAGAAAGTAGGTAGTAAAATGAAAGATAAAATGTGATCTTTATGAATCTTTCAGTTTACTGAAATGTGTGACCAAAAAGTTAATAATTAGGAGTTACTGATTGTCACTGAAATCTTAACACTAAGTTAATTTTTGTAGAATATATAATCTCACCTTCTGGAAGAGTTTTTCAGAAGTTACATATTACTATACATATTTATTAAAGATTAAATTTTTTTCTTACATTTGAAAATTCTGAGTATCTAAAAAATCTGGAAACAATATTTTAAAGGTGCACTGGCAGTAGTATGATCAAAATTAACTGAAATCTCAAGTAATTTTACTTATTTCAACTCAACTCCTAATAAACTGAATGAACAAGGTTGTTAAATTATTAATGTATTTTAAATTTTCTACAGATAAACAAATTATTTCCTTAGGATTTCTACATTGTGGCTTGATTAACGTGGAACCTGTTTTAAACAAACATTACATCCTTAAGAGTACAGTCACATTAACTTACTCAGGTATTCCTTTGATCCAACATGAATTTATTTATTCTGTTTACTCTAACTGATGAATCACTAAATCAATCTAACAATATTTTTGATACAAAGAACGTGTTGCCTTGGTTCATTCAAAACAGATTTTCCCAGTGATATAAATTAATAACAATAACTAGGAGTTCTTTACCCTAAAAATTTCTGGATAATCTAATCTGGATACCAACACCAGGCTTTTGGGAGCAAATACTTCTGCAGGCTGAATTAAACCAGCTACTTCCTCTTCACCTTCAATCTCTTCCTTCTTTGTTCCCTAGAAAAAGCAACATTGCAATCAACAGAATTTTCTTAGTTCATTATTCACAAAAATTAGATGTTACACACACCTTCCAAATAATTTATAAGAATCCAAAATTAATTACAAAATATAGTTTATATAATTAACAAAGAAATTATAAAGTAAGAGATAGTTATTTCATTTTTGAAAAGCTCCAGATTCTCCTTCCTTCTTCCCTCCCTCCCTCCCTAAGACAGGGTCTTCAATCTCCCTGACTGGTCTATAACGCCTGAGCTCCAGCAATCCTCCTTCCTCAGCCTCCCAAGTAGCTGGGATTATAGGTCTCTGTGTTGGCCTTCTGCATTTCCTTTTTCAGATGTCAGTAATAAAAACTGAATAAGACGAGTTGAAATTATTTTAAGTAGTACCCAAACAATTAAAAATGACTTTCACATAAATGGGACGTCAGCTTTCAAGAGAAGAAAAAAATCTTTTTTTAGAAATAAGGCATTCATTTTTGCTTTTATTTTTCAACTTGGCCCAATCTTTCAAATGAGAATTCTAAGGCTTATAGAATATTCAGTGCTCTTGGGAGTAAAGAGCAATGAGCTCTAAATTGCTTTTGCACATAAACAACAGTGTTAATATTTTGAGAGAACATGTTTGTGCAGAAAATAAGTTTCAGAATGTACTTAATGCCATAGAAATGCATGTTTATAAATGGCTAAAATGATAAATCGCCAGTAGATTTTAACTCAATAAAAAAGAAAGTCCTAAACAATAATAAAACAACAATAAAAAAAAATCTGTTTCCAGATGGGAATGTAGCTCAGTGGTAGGTGTGCTTGCCTCCCTTGCACAGCAAGCCCTGGGTTCATTGCCCAGTACTAAAAAATGAAAACAAAAATCCATAAATAAACAAAAAATCCCCTAAGTTTTAATGACTCAATACTGATCAATAAACTTGGAAAAGTAGTACTCTCATTTTTGACTCAACAAATATTTGCCGTGTACCTGTTGTTCAATAGTACTCAATCACAGTGAAAGTTTTATGAAATGTAAGGGATAAGGCAGTAAAGCATTCAGATTTAGTACTAGATGCTCTAAGATTCTTGGACATTTTCCCTAAATAGAATTACTTTCTTACTCCTTTATACAAATCAAAGGTTCATCTTAACATTTACTTTCCTCCCTGAAGCCCTTCTTTCCTATTTTTTTCTTTCTCTTACTTTCCAGCATCATTCACCAATATATAAGACTTTTTTATATTTATTTCTTCTGCCAACCTTTCCCCAAAATGCCACAAAATACTATATCCAGCTGCCTCCAGTTAATGACAAGTAGACATCACAAACATCCAAAACATAGCTCCAATCTTTCTCCCTAAACTTATCCTCCTTCAGCTGTCTATCAATTAATGGCAATTCCTTTTTTCACTAGGCAACCCAAAAGTCCTGATTTCCCTCTTTTATAGACCATATCCAACTGTCAAGAAATCCTGATTTCTCACCACCTCCATTGCTACCATAATACTTGGAGCTACCATTAGCTTTTGTCTGGATTATTACAACAGCCTCCCTTCATTTCCTTTATTCTTCTTTTTAAAAAATATTTAATTTTTAGTTGTAGTTGGATGAAATGCCTTTATTTTATTTATCTTAATGTGGCACTAAGAATCGAACCCAGGGACAAGTGCTCTACCGCTGAGCCACAACCCCAGCAATCACATTAACTTACTTTATTCTTTAACTCTACTTTGGTTCCTTGCTGCCTACAAATACATTAGGCATGTATCCATCTACACATTTATGGACTTGCTTGTTCTTTGCCTGAATACTTTTTTCAGATATCTTAATGGTTATGTCCCTCATCTCCTTCATTTAGACTTCTGCTCTGATGAGACTTTGGTGACCAATGGACTGGAAAATGCAATGCCCTAACACTGTGGTATCCTATTTTCCTTCTTTATTTTTCTCCATGATACTCATCACTAAACAACATATTATCCATTTTATTTATCTTGGGTTTTGGTTTGTCTATTTCCCCCACAAGAATATGTTCCCTAAAAGATGGGACTTCGGGGTTTTTTTTTGTTGTTGTTGTTCAATAGTGACTTCTGACTTCCTAAATAGAGGCTAGGTTCACCACTGATACTTACTATTTGTTCAGTGCATAAACGTAGGAATACTTTTCTGGGAATAGTTCTCTGGATATTTTACCAAGGGAAGTCTTTTTCTCCTTACTTTCTGAGGCCAAGAACTATATTTTCATTTTCCTTTAGAATCTATTTAGTCTTGAGTTGAATGCAATATAACCAAAACTTAACTGTTCATTGAATATACATAACCAAAGAGAACTTTCTGTCTATATAATAAGGCCCATCTACTCTTGAAAGATTTTCATTTGTTACAAAGCAAAAACTAAAATTAGGTTGGTTGTTTTCTGGAATCCTTAGAAATAATAAAAATGTGATGAGTATGAATTAACCAAAGATTTCCACACTTAATGAATCATATTCTTCATGGATTACAAACAAACTCAACATGACAAAAGGATGACTGAAATTCCTGGAAAAGATAAACCTACCCACATTTTTATGAGACTAATAAATGCTCTAGAGTACCATTAAAAGACAGCCTGAAGAGTAGATGACCATGTCAATAAATAACCATTAGCCTACTTTGACCAAAACAAAATAGAACATACTTGTCATTTCTTAAAGCTGCTCTTTAAACACTCCACAAAAAGGAATAGTTATTAAAAAAAAGGTCCAATACACTATAACTCAATATTAAGTAAAAATAATTTCACTTTTATATTACTTTTTTATTATAGATGTTGAGTTTTACTTGTAAATCCTAAAATCATTTTTGTTTCTAATAATTCTCCTACAAGAATACAATGTCTAAAATATAAGAGAATATTTCATGGTCCTACTTTTCAAAGCAAAATTATAGTGTTGTGATAAAAGAAACAACCCAGAAAGTTGTTAGATAAAATAGTTTGTTCCAGGAGATGATAAGGTGATGTTCTGAATCAAAATTTTCCAGAAAGGATTTATCATATAAGTGTACTACTGTCTCTTCTATATAGTTGCCAGATTGTTTTATATAATAATTACATAATGATACTGGCTTTATTTCATTTATGTTTTACAGTAGCAGGCTTTTGCATTGAAAATATGTGAGAAACTTAAAAATAAGGAGGAAATTCAAAACAGTCTATGAATTTAAGAGATGTTAAGATAATGCTTTGAAATTTAATATTTTATAGTATAAATCACTTTTACTTATTATCCAGTTTAGCAATATTTATAAACCATTCTTCTAAGATTATTCTTGGCTTTTAGTAGACCCAATTAAATGTACACTTTTACTCTACATGCTGTTTACTGAATTATCTCACATTGACTTCAAAGATCACCTTATCTCTGATTCATATCATAACCACATGCCAAATCTTACTCCTTTGGAGTATCTTTGACTACAATTGTTACAGTGAACTACATCTGCTAGAGAGATTCCCAGCCTCTGTTTAGTTCATATTGGTAGAGTTGATAGTCCCAGTGCTTCCATATATGGGCTACAAGAGTAATGCACCATATTGATCTGCCCCCAAAGTGCTATTACCTTTCAAACATGTTTGAAATAAAATGCTAAAAAGTACTAGAGGGTGATTTTTTTAAATTGTAGATGGGCACAATACCTTTATTTTATTTATTTTTATGTGGTGCTAAGGATGGAACCCAGGACCTTGCACATGCTAGGAAAGCGCTTTACCACCAAGCCACAACCCCAGGCCCTAGAGAGTGGATTTTATGTGATGATTTTTCCAAGCAGACAGGCACTAGCTTTAGAAAGTTTATCTTATCTATCATTCAGGTTGAATACTTCAACTTCATGATCATTGCATTCTGATGATTGATTTTTACATTAAACCAGCTGCTAAGTCCTGTCTCTTCTATTCTCACAAGAATTGTTGCAACTAACATCTTCTGTGTTATGTTCATTTTTCAACAAGTACTCTTTCACACTAAAATTCTTCCCATAACATTCTGTTAAGCACTCAGTTTTTGAAGAAAGGACAAAAAGAACACTGAAAGTAAAAAAATTCAGTTCTATGGGCTGGGGATGTGGCTCAAGCGGTAAGGCGCTCGCCTGGCATGCGTGGGGCACTGGGTTCGATCCTTAGCACCACATTAAAAAAAATAAAGATGTTGTGACCACTGAAAACTGAAAAATAAATATTAAAAAATTCTCTCTCTCTCTTAAAAAAAAATTTCAGTTCTAAGTTTCCTTTTTGAAATATAATTTATTACAGTGTACCATTTTGGAGAAGTTGCCTCAGTAAAACAATTTAAGGGCTTTAAAAATTTCCAGAATAGGAAATATAGGAGTTTTGGTAGTTAGAAAATTCTTTATAGTTTAAAATTCCCCCAGAAAAGCTCTCTCGTTTCTTGCCAAATAATCTTTTAATCACAATGGCATGGTCACATGAGAAAACCTGTTTTATCTTTCCATTGGTCTGTAAAATAATGACTTCATAAGGAATATAAGTTTTAGGTTAACAAGTCTTCAGATAAATCAAGCCACTAGTCTTTAGTTCAAAACTAAGTTTACCTCTAGCAAAGAAAATATGCTACAGATATGTACCTTCAAGAGCATAGCAACTAGGCTATACAGTATTCAGAGGCAGGACAAATTCAATTACAGGGCACTTTTTATTCATCCATAAAGTTTCCTATGTTAGAGGCATATAGTTTGTAAGTTGATTTTGCTGCTACTAGGCAGCAATTTCCAAAGTATTTTGTCCTGGAAGCTTATAGACATTACTTATCCCCCAAATTTTGGAAACAATAAGGTACACCAAGTTTTATAAAAATAAAAGGTTTCTTTACTACAGGATTTCTCAGACTTTGATATGCAGATATTATCTGTGTAATTTCAAGCAAATGAGGTATAGCATATAGTATTTTTCCTCTTTACTCCAGACTTATTGCCCTCTGGAACACATACTGGAAAAGGTTGTCTTACACT